AAAAAAAAAAAAAAAACATTAAGTTGGGAAACAAAGGTAGAAAATATAGGAGAAATCAAGACTTTGTGGGAGACCCAAAGTTCACCTGCTATGAAGGGGTTTCAGAAAAAAGAAAGTATTGAAGAAAAGCAGCAAGAAAACAACGAATCTGTGTGGCCGGTGGTCCAGACGTGGGGCTATGGGACAAGTGGTGATCTGTGGCCTCACCCTGAGCCGTCGGGTCTTGGGCGGCGTAGGGGTGGAGGTGCTGTCCTTGGTCCCTCTGGGGGAGTTGGGGGTCACTGTGGCTGAGGACCACCTGAGTGCTCACCCTCAGCCTCCCGGAGCCTGGCGTGGGGCGAAGTCCCAGGCCGGCTACTCTACTGCCACGGGTTCCACTGCTGGACGCTGAGCACCGTCCCCTGTGCCCGGCCACTCTCGGAGCCTGGGTTACTTGGGGTTTTTTGCTTTCATGTAAATCATTGGTTGTAACTACCGTGATACCAGCCATAATGTGTTTATGTATTACTTGGCCTGTATTATTCACTTGCTGTTGGTTTTGACATGAGGGGCTGCCCCGGGAGGGGCTGTAGGTGTCCTGTGGGAGGGGAGGCGTGGCCATCTGGCACGTGGCCTGGCCCCGCGCGCGTGTGTGTCCCTCAGCTCCTCTCCATGGGACAGGTGGGGCAGCCTGACCTTGTGCCCGGCTGTGGCTACAGTCCACCTGAGCGTCCGAGCTTTTGGTCCTTGGCAGCTGTTCTGTTCCTAGGGTCTCAGAGTGGCCCTGAGCAGTCCACGGTGCAGACCCACAGTGTAGACTGGAGATGTATCTTGACTAGTGGCCAGTGCTGGCCTGGCCTCACGGAGTCTGGGGTGTGGGAGGGTGTGCGAGGCCCTTGAGCCATCACCTTCTGACCAGCAGCCGCTTCCTTCCTCTAAGGACCTCGTGAATATCGAGATGTTCCTGACGGCCAAAGAGGTGGAGGAGTCCCTGGAGCGACGTGAGACGGCCACATGCCTGGCCTGGTGCCATGACAACAAGTCCCGGCTCCGGAAGATGAAGGTGCAGGGACTCCCGGATTGGGGTGGGGGGTGGGGTCAGGGCCTCGGCGGCGCCACCTGCCCTGGAGCCAGCTCGTTCTCGCCTGGTGGTTCACAGTGGTTTGGTTTTGGTTTGTCAGGTGGCGGTTGGGTTCGGGAGGTTTTTTGGTGGTTGTGTTACACTGTGAGGCTAAAATCTGGAAAAGTGCACCTCATTTGGCATTAGTTTGCATACTCGTGGCATGAGGCTCAGAGGGTGGGTTACGGGAGGCCGACCTTGTGCACGCAGCATGTCTGGGGCTACTGGGCTTGGAGCCGGGAGATGCCTCAGTCCCATTCCATGGGGGCTACCCCGGGGACTCCCTGCACTCAGACACAGAAAAGCTGGTTGGGAAGTCATTCTCCTATTGTGAGGCTGCAGAGCTCTGGACTGTGATATTCGTAATGAATACCCATTTTTCTTTTCTTTTCTTGTCTTTATTTTTTTTTTTGAGATGGAGTCTCACTCTGTTGCTAGGCTGGAGTGCAGTGGCGTGATCTTGGCTCACTACAACCTCCGACTCCTGGGTTCAAGCAATTCTGCTTCAGAGTAGCTGGGAATACAGGTGCCCGCCCCCACGCCCAGCTAAATTTTGTGTTTTTAGTAGACATGGGGTTTCACCATGTTGGCCAGGATGTTCTCGATCTCCTGACCTCATGATCTGCCCATCTTGGCCTCCCAAAGTGCTGGGATTACAGGCGTGAGCCACTGCGCCCGGCCGAATACCTGCTTTTCTAGAGACCACAAGAGGCCTGATAAATAGACTCTTAAACGACAGAATTAACCTGCTTATTAAAAGGCAGTGTCACCCTAGGGCTTGCAGAAATGTTTTAACTTAGATGAACAGTCCTGCCTCCATTAGCAAACTGTTTTCTGAACTGAGTGCTGCTTTAACCCCACCCTGACTGAGCTTGGCAGGGTGCACGCTCTGCCACTCAGGGCCGCCAAAGCAAGCACCCAGCGAAGACGGGACAATACAGTAGAGCGGCCAGTGGCTCCCCTAAAGAGGGTGAGGGTCTTGGTATGGAAACCCTAAAAGGAAAGCCAGATTGGTATGTAACCCGTGGCACCCCCACACAGTGCCAGCTCCACAGTCCTTCCCAAAGAGCCAGCACACGCCTCACGTTGGGAGCTCCGCCGGGCCGTTTCATGTGCATGTCAGAGGGAGGATAGGTTCTCGGTGCTGCCAGGATATTTCTGCAAGCCTTGAGACCTAATTACATACCAGACAGTGTTGCTAAAGGGCGTCGGGGGCTTGCCGTGGGCCCACGACCCGTCTGAAACTGCCGTGGGGTCAGGCAGGGCCAGGACTCAGGGAACTGAACGTGTGCGTGCCTAGTGGATGGGTGTGCCTGGTGTCGGATGAAGTTGAGATTGGATGGGGCCTGAATCCATGTTTGGGTGCTGTCCAGAAATTCTCCCTCAAGACTCCAGAAGACAAGGAAACATGCCCGGTGCCAGATGACAGCTGAGCAAAGCGGGGTGCACAGCTGTCTGTGCAGTCTGCATGCCCGTCTGAGCAAAGCGGGGTGCACAGCTGTCTGTGCAGTCTGCATGCCCGTCTGAGCAAAGCGGGGTGCACAGCTGTCTGTCTGTGCAGTCTGCCTGTGCGTGCTCACATTGTGAGAACCTAGATGGGAAGAGAAACTTGAGACCAGGCTTTACCTGGCTGGGAAATGGATTTCACAGTAATGGGTGGGTGAATGGCCCTGAAGCCAGCTGACATAGTGATTTTTGTGCTGCACATCTGTGGGAAAGTCACACACAGCCATCCATGTGGGTGCCTGGCGCAGAGTGGACACACCCCGTCAGCACTCCACACCGTATGGGGCTACGTAGACTCCAGGTATTTTAGATTTGGGTCTAGGTACCTAAGTTTCATGGCATATACACACTTACATATTAGTGGACTAATTAAAAGGAACCTACTAGGCTGGGCAAGGTGGCTCATGCCTATAATCTCAGCACTCTGGGAGGCTGAGGCGGTCAGATCACCGGAGTCGGGAGTTCGAGACCAACCTGACCAACATGGAGAAACCCCGTCTCTACTAAAAATACAAAATGAGGTCGGTGTGGTGGTGCTTGCCTGTAATCCCAGCTACTCAGGAGGCTGAGACAGGAGAATCACTTGAACCCGGGAGGCGGAGATTGCAGTGAGCCAAGATCATGCCATTGCACTCCAGACTGGGCAACAAGAGTGAAAGTGTCTCAAAAACAAACAAACAAACAATAAATAAAAGAACCTAGTGGAGCAGAAGGTGTCATTAAAACGCAGGTTTGAGCCAGGCGCGGTGGCTCATGCCTGTAATCCCAGCACTTTGGGAGGCAGAGGTGGGTGGATCACGAAGTCAATAGATTGAGACTATCCTGGCCAACGTGGTGAAACCCCATCTCTACTAAACAAAAATTAGCTGGGCGTGGTGGCGCGCGCCTGTTGTCCCAGCTACTCGGGAGGCTGAGGCAGGAGAATTGCTTGAACCTGGGAGGTGGAGGTTGCAGTGAGCTGAGATTGCACCACTGCACTCCAGCCTGGTGCCTGGCAACGGAGTGAGACTCTTGTCTCCAAAAATAATGCAGGTTTGAGGTGTCCGTGTGTGAAGAGGTAACCTAGAGTGAGCTCAGAGTCCTGTTTTTTAGAGCACCCCCTCGGCAGCTGCTTCCTGCCTTTACGCAGAGCCCTGGCACTCCCCTGGCCTAGACAGCAGCTGTTGGGTGGCCCCTGGGAGGCAGGTGGGGCCCTGGTGGGGAGCCTCTGTCTCTTCCTGCTGGTCCTCTCTTTCCCTCCTGCCAAGCTGGCTCTGAAGGGAGCGGAGTGCGGACCAAAGTCTGTCTGCTCATTAGTGGGGTGGGGACTGAGGACCCTGGGGTGACCTTGTGCCTTTTAGCTGGTTTGTACCAAGCCTGGCACTCACCACCCAGAGCCTGTGCTACTGTTGGGGTCAGAGATGGTCCCCCTGCCCCAGCTTGGAGCAAGCCTGTGAGTTCTACATCCAGCCTGCTGACCTGTCTGAGGGCACGGGACAGGGGCTGCAAGGGCTGGAGCCGGGGCGGCCCCTCAGAAAGGGGCCTGGGAAAAGTTCTGGGCAGTGGAGTGATGAGCTTCGATTTCAGTGAAGTCATGGAGTGGATTCATTTGCTTGCCATGTAGCCTTTCTATGCATGCCATCCTGAGATCCGGACACTGGAACTCAGAGTGACAAATGGCGGCCCGAGCCCAAGACTGGCTCCGTGGTGTTCATGCCCATATCCTGTTTCCGGGGCAAAGCCCGGAAAATGTCTTGAAGCCACACGGAAGATCTTACGGTTTAGGCGGCCACGTCACTGCTGTGGAATCCGCGTCTCCTCCCGGATGACTTTGGTCAGTGTTGCTGCTGCCCTCTCCCCAGCCACAAGTCTCGGCCCACGTTGGACTGAGGTTGCTGAGATTTCAGAGTGAGGGTTGGGCTTCCGTGGGGTTTTCTTAGCTGCAGGCGAGAGGCTCGTAGGCAGACACACGTGGGACTTGGTCCTGCAGGAGCTCCCCCAGCCCCCGCCTCACGCATGGCACTGTCCCAGCAGCATCCCTGACCCGGCCTCTCTCCCTTGTCCGAACATCCCGGGAGCGCCCTCCCTTGTCGGGAGTCGCCCCTCGGCCTCGTAGCCACCTAGGACCTCAGTGTCCTCTGCGCCAGGCCTCCGCTCCGTGTACCCCCTGCCTGGGGCCTCGGTGCTGGTCCTGGCTTCTGCCTGGCATGTCCTTGCTAGGTGTCTGTACAGTCCCTCGTCCGTAACCTCGGTGCAGGCGCTCCCTGCCAGCTGGCTTAGGTCCTGCCTGCTCCAAGCTTGCTTCTCTGCCTGTGAGGCACCACCCAGCACCCCCCACCTTTGGTCCCTGTCTCCTCCCCACCCCAGGCATCAGCACCCCGGGACAGGACTCGCCCACATTCTCCTGGAACAGCCCTGGGCTCAGGCCAACACTCGGTCTACACTTGGGACAGATGGGTCCAGAGTCCCAGCGGGGTGTAAAGGAGGAAGCAGCGGCCTCAGGGCAGGACCCAGGAAGCTGCTCTGTCCCTGCAGAGGGGTTGGTGCCTTTGTTCCAGTGGCTGTACCTATTGCTCTGCCCTCCCAGCGTCCCCCAGGCCCGTGCTCCTGGGAGCATCCGAGTGTCCCAGCCTTTGGGTTGAAATGCTGGGCGGCTGCACACCCTACCACGCCTGCGGGAGCAGGGGCGGGACTCATGTTCAGAACCCAGCAGTCCCGGGAAGTGTCTGCTTCGGGTTGAAGTGGCAGCTTCAGCCTCAGCCCTGCCTTTCTGGTGCCTGTGAGAGGGGTTCAGAGCTTTGGGTGTGGGGTCTACTGGTGGATGTGGGGTCTGTTGGTGGACACGGAGTGCGGCCCCTGGGCGCCTGGGCTCTGTGGGATGTGCTGTCTAAGCCCTCGTCTTGTCTTTGCCCTCAGAGCTGCCTGGAGTTCAGCCTCAGAATCCAGGAGTTCATTGAACTCATCCGGCAGAATAAGAGACTGGACGCCGTGAGGTAGGCATCGCGGGCGTGTGGCTTCTCCAGGGAGGGCGGGATGTCTGGCTGTGGCCGCTGCCGGCCCTGCCTCTCGCAGTCTGGGTCTTGGGATGTCCCTTAGGTGTTGACTCTGACCCCTGCCCGCTCAGGTGGCAGCTTCTCCCGCTGTTCCTGAATGGGGACCCGGGGAGCAAGGCCTGGAGCCCAGCAGGACCCCCACCAAGGTGTAGCCCGAGGTGGACATCAGACCCCGTGGCTGCCAGCTGACCAGCTCTGGCGTCCTGACCATCCACGTAAAACATATGGACCGGGCTCCCGGCACCCCCTTTCCTCGTGGGAAAGCGCTGCCAGCCTCTGTGGCTTGGGAGTGTCTCTGATGTGTGGTCCTCAGGTAGCCCCAAGCGTCCTGAGCTTGGGGACATCCCTCATGGTCATCAGGGGTGGGTGTTGACAGCATGTGGTGAGAGCACTTCTGGGTTCCCTGGCCCATCTCCACCCCAAGGGCAGCGTACAGTGAGCTGAGGCCAGTGGCGCCGTGGCGGTCAGGCCTGAGAATGGGGTTGCTGGCTGTCACTGTGGCTCAGCCCAGTTAGGGTGTACGGTGCCTGCAAAGCAAGACGGGCCAAATGCTGGCTTCCCATGTGTGACCCAGAGCGAGCATCATCAGGCAGTGGTGGGCGCCTGGGCCGGGCGGGGCCGGCCAGTTCCTGCTTACCCCGTCTCGGGGCAGGCTGCTCCTCGGTGCAGGGTTGTCTCACTCACTTTCGTGGAGGTTCCTGCCCGGCCAAGTCTCGTGGTGACGCATGAGTTGCTGTGTGGGCTGTGGGGGGCGCGTGGGCCTGGCCGGCTCAAAGCTTCTGGGCGAGTGCCCAGCAGATATGTGTTTGCCAGGAGGGGATGCCTGTCTACAAGCGCGGAAGCCGGGCCGCAACTCCACATCCACCTGCATCTGCTGCATGGCCAGGTGTTCCACAGAGAGCCCACTCGGAGCAGTGGTGTCTCACGATGGGGCGCTAAGGAGGCTCCCCAAGACACACGGCAGGACCACGGCGGGTCCCTGCCCCTGCATGGGCCCTGGAGAGGCCCAGGACCTGCTCTGGCCCCCGATGCCTGACCAGGTCAGGCCTGTGGCAGGGAGCTCATCGCCCTTCTGTGCCTGAGAGGGCAAAGCAGGGGTCTCAGGACCCAGCCCAATGGAGATTGGGGTGTGACTTCCAGGGATACAGCAAGGGCGTCAGCCAGGAGGAGGGGCTCCTGCTCATCTCCGGCCTCCTCCACGAGGCCTCGGTGCCTGTGTCACTGGCCTCTGCCTGGCGCCGCCTGCTTTCCTCCTGAGCCAGCCTCCGTCTCCTTGAGGGCCCCGGCCACTATCAGCGCAGCAGTCTGAGAACAAAACGTGTCCATCTCAGAGTCCCTCTCTGCAGCCCCTCCCGTCACAGGTGTCTTCATCCGGGCGGTGGCTGGCCTGCGTGGGGGCAGTTTGCCGGCTTTGGTGGAGTCTGCCCTGGAGACTCTCGGGGCCCCGCCTCATGATCTGGAGCTGAGCTCAAGAGCTGTACCCTCTGTAACCTAGTCAGTTGCAGGGGAGCAGGCAGGTCCCAGGAAGTGCATGTCCTTCCTCCTCGTGAAGGCGTGTACTGCCCAAAGCATCAGCACCCAGCCAGGCAGGCGTGGCAGATACCACCCCAGTGCCTTTCAGACAAGCGTGGCTGAGCTACACCCTCTGCTGGAGCCATCTTGGAGGTGGGTCTCCAAGAACTAGGGCCTGGTCAGGGAAGTCCAGCCTCAGCTCTGTGTGGCCCTGGAGCCACCCCAAGGCACCCGGGAGCTGGGCTGGGGTGAGAGGTGGGACGTCGGCCAGACCTTTGTTGGTTGAGGGAGTGCGAGTGTCTGACTGGGAGGCCGGAGGGTAGTGTGTGTCACTGAGGCTGGACAAGGGAGAAGGGGAGAAGCCTGGCCACATGTCTCCTGAGGGCTCCTGGCCGGACCCTCTTGCCTGCTGTCAGGGTCCCAGCCCACGGGAGCTTCCCATCTACCACTGAACTCACAGCCCACAGGGTGCTGGAGCATGGGGCACCATCTACAGGGCTTGAGGCCAGCAGCCCAGCCTCTGGGTCCACACCTCACCTGGGACGGCCGTCCACTGGGGCAGGCGAAGTGGGTGCTACTGTCCGTGGCGCCAATGTGCCGGGCCAGGCAGGGGCCTCATTGCTGGGGTGGCTGCAGCTCTGCCCTGCCTGGGGCATTTGTGAGTTTGCCAAGTATGAAAGTGTGAGCCGCAAGTGTTTAATTTTTAACATTTTTAATTTTTAGTAAATGAGTAAGCAAATCCCTGACCCCAGGTGGCTGGGATGTGGCGTGCGCTTCGGTGGCTTTGTGTGAGCAACACGTGCTGTCTGTCACACACCCACACCTCAGCCTGGCCAGGCACAGTTTAGGAATGCTGTCTTTCGGGTGTCTGTGCTCTGTGTGTGTGTGTGTGTGTGTGTGTATTTTTTTTTTTGAGATGGAGTTTTGCTCTGTTGCCAGGCACGGTCTCAGCTCACAGCAACCTCCGCTTCCCAGGTTCAGGTGATTCTCCTACCTCAGCCTCCCGAGCAGCTGGAATTACAGGCATGTGCCACCACACCTGGCTAATTTTATATTTTTGGTAGAGACGGGTTTTCGCCATGTTGGCCAGGCTGGTCTCAAACTTCTGACCTCCAGTGATCTGCCCACCTTGGCCTCCTAAAGTGCTGGGATTACAGGCATGAGCCACTGCACCTGGCCCGTGTGTTTATATTTTTAAAGAAAAATTGGATGTTGTTATGTTTCTTATGTTGGCTGCATTGAGTCTGATAAGAAAAGTCTCGGTTTCACTTCACCGGCTCCCTGTGGACGCGCACTAGGCTGTTCTCCACTGTGTCTGCTCTGAGCCCCACATTCCGGGCTGTAGTGCTGTCTGCCTTGGGATTGAATGCTGGTATCAAACGACGCGAGAAGTGTCAGCCACCACTGTTAGGTTTTCTGTTTCGTCGCGGTTTGTGGATCAAGATCCTGGTGTTTGAGGCGAGGCCGCTTATTAGCAGGTGGGAGTATCCATCTGGGGTTTTATTGATAGTGAGACAAGACGCGTAATCCAGGTCATGGGAATGAGAGCTCATAGATGTCAACCAAAGAGACTAAATCCCGTCTCTTCAGTAGCTAACCGCTGGCTTGTAGTCCCTGCCACACTCTGTGGGGTCAGCTGTGTGGACTCACCTCTGGCTTGTAGTCCCTGCACACTCTGTGGGGTCAGCTGTGTGGACTCACCTCTGGCTTGTAGTCCCT